CATCACGAAGAACTTGAGGTGCGGACACAAGAATCTTGAAGCTACTTTATCGCATACTGCGGCCAGCATACAACTACACAATCACACACTACCAAAGAACCTAAGCGGTAATAGCCCTGTAGCAATCCGTAACAAGCAACCGGACAAAACTACGCAAAAATGATAGAAAGCAGTGATATACAGATACGACGCATAGTTGATGGTAACAGCAAACAAGTGCACGTTGGCTGTGAGAGACGGAACGCTGACCTTTCTTTTGTGACGGTATAGCAAATGCACCTTGAAAAAGCAAAAGAATAACTTAACCAAGTAATTTTCAAAATTTATTGGCACAACCTATTAATGACAAAACTGTCGATTTTTTTGATTTTCAGTTGTCAACATTTGAGATGAAATTTGTTCTTTAAATTTCCTGCATAATCTTGCAAGGTTGCCTTCGTACAAGAGTCTGCGAATCGTTACCGGATGCAGGGAGCATCATTCCACGAAGTTTTTACGCATTTTATGCTGCTGCAGTTGCGCAAAGCGCTTTTGTCGAGACCCTATGTGGACGTATGTCTGTGTGCGTTCCGAGTGCATTTTATCTGGGGTTTCAAACCGGGAACCAGAGAAGCCAGAAGCTGAAATTTCAGAACGCGATTTTATCCGCGTGTGAGCTCGCGAGCTCAAATTTCAGCGTCCATGCGCGCTGGGCTCCACTTACGATGACGTGAAAATTTTGGCCGAAAATAACTCGGGAATCAGAAAAGCTAAGAATCTGAAATTTTAGACGAATGTTCTCCGCCCGCATGCGCCCCATAAAACCAAATTCAGCTTCAGCATAAGCTAAGTTTCGCGCATGAATACGTAAAAGTTTCGGAGCGAAAACTGTTAACTCAGAAATCAGAAAAGCTAGGAGGTTGAAATTTCGGAATAATGCTCCCTGCCGCGTACAAATTAGTCCCCACGCACGTTTAGTTCTCACATTCAGCAATATGAAATTTCCGACACCACAGTTAGTGGCTTGCAAAAAAACAAACAGTAAATTTCGACGCCAAAATTAACATGTATACGTACAAACGGTAACGCAGTGGACATTTTTGACAGCAAGATTCCCCTGAACAAAGTTGCACAAGTATCAACTAGGTAGAGCTGCAGAAGTGCCTGTCGGACAGACCTGTACAAGCGTTTACTGGACAAGATCACACAAAACGCATGGTTGCATCAGCTCTCCCTGTTGCGCGCCGTTACTTATTTTCTAAATAAGCAAAGTTTGAGGGAATATTGTCCCGCAGACAATGAATGCAAGGATGGATGCAAGTGGCAAAACTGTATATGATTGCACCGATATCATGGGCAAAGTAAGAAGAAATGGTGATGAGTATGAGAGGCCAAATCATAAATTTAAATACAAATGTGATAACGGTATCGAAATTATTACTGGTATGATTGTTACTACATACAAGTTTAACTTCCTTCTTTCGAGAAGCAAAGTACGGGCTTGATTTGCTCGCAAATACTGTGCCACTCTACTATCCTAAGCAGGTGGACGAATCGTAAACAGACTGGTTGCCCCACTGACGAAGTCGAACCATCTGCAGTTTTACTTTCCATTATGCTGTGCTCGTCATCTAGTTTCTTTTTTTTTTTTTTATTTTTTATTATTTTTTGTTCCTCCAGTTGTTTGTTTTTTAAGTTGCCAACCTTTTTTGGAAAATTTTACTATTTTTGAGAAGTTTTATGCATTAGAATAGCGGTCTTGTCAGTTTTTACTTCATTTTGAAAGCCTGTGAATCTCTTAAGCGGGCAACTTGTTCATTTGACTGGCAATTAGCAGGGATGCGCCCACCGAAACTGGTACCGCTTGAGGCAAAAAATGATCATTCATGTAAAGCTTTTTGTATTTTTATCCAATATGACAGGCATTGAAATTTCTGCACTGTCAATTCATTGAAGCGTGCATTGGATCGGAGCGAACTGGCGGAGCACTGATTAAACCTGGTGAAACGCTGAACAAAGACGGATTCTGGCACAAATGCACTCACTATCCAAAAAATCAGACAGCTGTCTACACAGAAGGTAAGCGGCATTTTGAAGATCAATTTTTGTGGAAACTGTATCAAACTTTTTTGAAAATACAGTATTATTTAAGAATCGGGATGTATGTTTTTCGAGTAATACTTAACAAAGAAATTATTTTATTTCCGTGTCTAATTAATTTCTTTGACTCAATAATTTTTAAGCAAG